TTTTTTTTTTTTTTCTTTTTCTTTTTTTTTTCCAGATCGGAAGACTGTTTTGTCTCGGTGCGTACACAATAAAGAGGGAACGAAACGCACAGGAGTGAAATTGTTTTTTGCTAGTCATGACTTCTAATAAGGAACAAAAGCCGCCTTTTACAAGGCATTTGATATTTGAATTTTTTGATCGATCGGCTTCCCTTTCTTTCTTTTTCGACCTGCCATGAATTAATCGTGAATCGTTATTGATTGTTGATTTTTTTTCTTTTTTTTTTTTTTGAAAAAAGAAAATTTTTCTTGATAATTTATTTGTATTTCGCGTTTTCCATAGCGGCGCAGAGTGAATGAAGGTATGTGGTAGTAAAAATTATATATTAAATAAAAATATCTAGCGAGATGTTTATTGAAATTATCGAAAATAATATATATATATATATTTTATAGAATTTTAAGTTCCGTTAATGAAATTTCATTGAAAATATCGCGAACTTATTTGTCTCTTTTCCGCCTTTTTTACATTTTAAATTATAAAAATTATAATTATCTTTTTCATCTTTTCAATTTGTCCTATTGTCCTAATATTTTCATTGAATTGAGAAGAAAAATTATAAAAAAAAAAAGATAAGAAATTCTACGTTAAAATTTATCATATATTATCAATCGTTTATAACCTAACCTGACCTATATAGCCTATATATTATTAATTGTTTATCCTATTCCGATATCTTGGAATTATCAGCCTTATTACCCTTGCGAAGATAATTTTTCAATTATACCTAACAAATGTACGAGAACCACGAAGTGGGGCGTCACATTTTGCCCCGCGTTTGTCATTGCACTCCACCTGTTATCGTCAATTGCGCCGACGAATGTGCAAACTTCAGCGCGCATTCACGCAACAGCACAATCCCTCTTTCTCTTTCCCCGAGACGGTGATAATTATCAACGTGAGAAACCGCGCCTCCCTCCCCAACCCGCAATGTGGAATGTTTGTTCGCGGCAAAAGCGGCGAAAGTTCTCCCTCTCCACCGCCTTAATTTCGGTGGAGACTCGCCTAACTTTCTTAGATTCACTCCCCGCGAGGAGAGGAGACGGAAATTTTCTTGGTCGAGGGTAAAATTTCTCGTTTCTTTTTTTTTCTTTCATTCTTTCGAATTTATTATCACAGAAAGCTATGCGATTCATTTTGACAGAGAGAAATGATGGGATATAAAGATAGAAAAATATTGTATTACGATATAACGATATTATCGAATGATAAGAGGAAGAAGAAATTATGATTGAATCGATAGAAATTTTAGAGATCGTTAAGAGAGATACCGTTAATATACAGGGAAAAATAAACGGAAAGTCGTACAGAGAGATAAACCATTGCGTGCCATTTTGGAGAGAGCCACTTATTTATGACAGGTATAATTGTACACATGTGCACGGTTTCCTCGTTTTTTGGACACGGGAATAATTAATCAGAACAAGGTGTATCATTTTTCAAGGTGATCAGCTCGGCGAGAAACATTGGCAATGTTATGCCATGTGAACCGCGTTCCTTTCAAAGGAAGGAATGAAAAAGCGTTTCTTTCGTTTCAGAGGAATCGTGCAATTATATTCCCTTCGATAAAATATTTAAATCGAATTTCGAAAATTTCGATTATATCGTCACCTTTCCTACTACATTTAATTGTTAACATTAAAATTATCATCCTTTATAACATATATATATATACAAAACAGACTAATACAGATAACAAAATGGAAAAAGTGAATATCGAAATATTATTAAATTAAAATTAGCAAAGATTAATATACAGTAAATGGAGATATAAATATTTTTAATATCGTTGGAAAAATAAAAAGAATCACGAGTCACGAATCTCTCTGAAAGGGATTCACCGACACGCTTGCACGTAAACAAAGGGGCAAAATTATGAAACGTTAAACGTCGCGGATGCGCTCAACAATAACAACGAAATCAAAACGAAAACAAAAATACATTACCCGGGATAAAAATCATCC